ACGGAAAATAAAAATAAAATTAAAAATTGGAGTAAATATAATTAACAAATGTACAAGCTAACAAGTAATATAACAATAATAATAAAAATAATTTTGGATAAATAATAATAAAATACTAATGTAGCGTAACCATGAAACAGGGAATTCAGGAGGAAGATGAAGTGTCAATGAGGTCGTAGCAATTTTCGGAACATTATTGTGATTTTTGTGTATTTAGTTATGAATTTTCTAAGAAAAAGTCATAAAATAATAATTTAGGGTAAAAGGTAAGGATGTGGCCATGTTGACTGACGCACACTTGTCAAGGGGTGAAAGGTGAGGGGCTGAGATCGCGCCAGGTGTCCATTTGGCAATTATTTTGGCTTTTTTAGTGCAAAAATCTTTGAAAAAATGCAATAAATAGTAGAAAAATCCTAAAAATGCCCCGAAAAATACTCCGGCCTCCGTGTGACGTTATAAAACGAGGGGAACCCATAGATCATCCATTTCGCAATTAAAAATTCAAAAATGATTTACATAACTCACTTTCCTCTTAACCCTAAGTATATATGTTGTTCACTTTAACTTCAATAACCTACTTCAACAAGCATCTCCCGTTAATGTTCGGAATTGTTTTTTAAAATGCGTAACCACTAATCGGGGAATTCAGCAAGGGAGATGGAGTGTCAATGAGGTCGTAGCAATTTTCGGATCATTTTTCTGATTTTTGTGTATTTAGTTATGAATTTTCTAAGAAAAAGTCATAAAATAATAATTTAGGGTAAAAGGTAAGGATGTGGCCATGTTGACTGACGCACACTTGTCAAGGGGTGAAAGGTGAGGGGCTGAGATCGCGCCAGGTGTCCATTTGGCAATTATTTTGGCTTTTTTAGTGCAAAAATCTTTGAAAAAATGCAATAAATAGTAGAAAAATCCTAAAAATGCCCCGAAAAATACTCCGGCCTCCGTGTGACGTTATAAAACGAGGGGAACCCATAGATCATCCATTTCGCAATTAAAAATTCAAAAATGATTTACATAACTCACTTTCCTCTTAACCCTAAGTATATATGTTGTTCACTTTAACTTCAATAACCTACTTCAACAAGCATCTCCCGTTAATGTTCCGAATTGTTTTTTAAAATGCGTAACCACTAATCGGGGAATTCAGCAAGGGAGATGGAGTGTCAATGAGGTCGTAGCAATTTTCGGATCATTTTTCTGATTTTTGTGTATTTAGTTATGAATTTTCTAAGAAAAAGTCATAAAATAATAATTTAGGGTAAAAGGTAAGGATGTGGCCATGTTGACTGACGCACACTTGTCAAGGGGTGAAAGGTGAGGGGCTGAGATCGCGCCAGGTGTCCATTTGGCAATTATTTTGGCTTTTTTAGTGCAAAAATCTTTGAAAAAATGCAATAAATAGTAGAAAAATCCTAAAAATGCCCCGAAAAATACTCCGGCCTCCGTGTGACGTTATAAAACGAGGGGAACCCATAGATCATCCATTTCGCAATTAAAAATTCAAAAATGATTTACATAACTCACTTTCCTCTTAACCCTAAGTATATATGTTGTTCACTTTAACAAGTATATTTCCTTAATATTCGTTATATAATTTGTACTAATACAAGAATTAGTTTCCTTTCATATATAAGGATGTAAAATTATCTGTTTTGGTTATAATAATGTACATATATAATAAATGCACCACTACTTGGAAGCCATAATTGGAACTGCGCATGCGCCTAGAGCTTTGAAGACGTCAGAGATAGTCAATAAGTTGTCCATATGCACCTGCACCTAGAGTTTTCAACACGTCGGCGGTATTCAATAAGTTGTCCTTATGACGCCGCATTGGGAATCAGTAATATATTTTCTATCATGTCCAATCGCATAAACATATAATATAAAGAAATAAAGCAATAGTAGGAGATGAACCAGTACAAAAAACAATATATAACTGGTACAAAATAATGCCATAACCTTGTCACAAAACCAGTCACACATGCTTTTCCATAAACCTTACCCTAACATATAATACATAAAGGCAACATTGCATATGATGCAACCATGTCCAAATCTGATACGTGATCACAAAAAAATGGACATGGCAGCAACATATGACTGAAGTAGATGGGCACTTTGCATCGTGTTATCGTAATTAAAGACATGAAAATATGAAGGTTGAAATCTTCTATAGTAGTAAGCATCAAAATAGGTTTGAAGCAGAGCTTAACGAAAATTCCAGTTCCTCTGATTTGCCTCTACTCAAACACGATAACCAAAATGGTCACTTCCCTTGCTGAGTATATTTGTTAACGTCGGAAACGGTAATAGATGACCAATCAAACCCGGGTACGACGAGTTTTGCATAGGACCGGAAGTAGTCGAATCCAGCTTGCATCACACGCTTCTTTGACTCCTTTGCATTAGATGAGTTCTTGTATTTTTGAACAGCTACACTCCGAAGTCGTTTGTGTCTACGCTTCATGCGCTGCAACTTCGCCCTATCCAGATTGGCCTGCCTTTTGTCATCTTCAATTTGGCCTTCAACAAATTCCAAACGTACCCTTGCCCTTTGGATTTCATCACCAAGTTGAAGATGCCTCTCCTTCCAGAAAGCAAGAACTCTTTCAGACTCAAAACTTCCAACAAAATGGTCATTCTGTCTAGGAAAGTGACATTGCTTGTCTGGTGACTCACTTGCGTTTCGAAGGCGGTCTTTGTTTGGAGGGGTGTTTATTACGCTCACATCAAACTTGGTTAGTAAATCCATTCAATGGGGGGAGAGAGTTTCTGTGGAGGAGAGAGTTTCAGTAGATGGAGACACATTCGGTGGAGGAGTGAGTTTTTTGTGGAGGGAGAATTTTTATGAAGGGGGTGATAGTAATACCAATAAAAAAGGGTTCCCGCCAAAAAAAACATTTGGTTGACAATGTATAAATGAAAAAAGGTCTCATACAAGCTAAGTTTAATCCTAACTAGTTTGTTTAGTTTGGTTGGGTTCACTAACTAGATGTCACTTCCATTGAGTTTCTTTCAACCACTAACAGTGGTGTAAGGAGAGTGTGAGGTTGACATGCTTGAAAAGCAAAACCTGACACCTGTTTTTTTAAAATTGAAATAAAGTAGATATGTTGACTACACGCAAGCTTTGGTATGTTGGTCTATAAAGCTATGTTCCATTTCTCAAACGAAATTGCATCTGCAATCCTCATCCTCCAAAACAAAAGGATTATTCAAGTATGTCAACCTCTTCAGGCGCCAACAACACAATCGAAGATGAAAAATTGGAGTCGCAGGTTCCGTTTCCACGTTGTACTCGCCGACCCCTTCCATTTTCAACATCATTTGGGAGTGAGGGGGACTCCGATGATCCATTAGAGGCAATAGATGCAGTCAGTACCAAGCTGGATTATAATTCCAGACTGATCAATTCATGGCACGAGAAATGTGTTGAAGACGAGGCCATTTTGGCTGATCTTAACATTAGAGTGAACAAAGCGTTCTCCCAAAAGAACAAGTACTTGAAGCTGAGTCATAAAAGGAAGCTGAAAGCTGAGGAGTTGGATGCAGTAATGAATGATGAAATTAAAGGTTGTTTGATGAACCATATGCGATGCGAAGAGCACCACAGTGAACTGGAGTTGGCATTCAACGAAGGATTCGAAAAATTCCGAGCATTCGCGGCAACAACTCATACAAGTTATAATTGGGACTATGTGTCCCCTGATGCTGTGAGAGAGATACTAGACGATGGTGGTGACATGAATGAGCATAAGCACGTCAAAGCTGCTCGGAAGAAGCCGACCGATACGACTAAGTGATTGCGGCTACAGCTGTTCTGTTGGTTGGGGGTGATCGTGGTATTGCACAAATTAGAACTATGTTCCCTTAATGTCATTATCTAATATAAAATAATACAAATATCAGTTTCATTTGCTTCATATATAATTATTGGGACTATGTCTTGCAAGTCATCATGTGTTCCTTCTGTCTAACATTATATTTTGCAACTATGGAAATATTATTCAATAAGCAGTCAATATCACAGCACCTTGGTAATCAGTAAAGCCCCATTATCATGACACGTGAGTCATAAGTAAAATGCCATGTGCTATACATTGTGTAGTGAATGGTTTATGGTTTATGTATATATAATAAAATTCCAAATATTGCTGAATATTTATTTTGTCTAAATCACTGGGGACATGAGTGACCATAAGCACGCGAGACCTGCTAAGAAGAAGCTGACCAATACGACCTAGTGATTGTGGCTACCGTTGTTCAGTTTATTGGGGAGATCGTGCTATTGCTAAGAGGGAGCACATAAAATGCTTTGCAATCAAATTTTCTTTTGTGTGTGGAATTATGAGTAGTTCAAATGTTAGTGTACCCTTTAATATTACCCAACCATTCGAAATGTGATTAGCTGCAATGTACTTTTTTACACGTTGCTTTCTAATCTTTCTGTTCCAACAAAGTGCTTCAAGTATCCTTCAGCTACGAATGTTTGCAAAATCGTGCACCTAATAACCAGTCCAGCTCAGATCTTAATCACCAGTAAAACACTAGAACATAACATTCGCAAAAAGTGGGTGCTGCTACAAATGATGCGTGCTGCTGGAAATCATTACTGGTAATGGAAACAATAGCTGGCTGCTGGAAATGCTGCATTAGCCTGTCATATAATCAATAAATCTCTATTCAAACATAATTCACCATAAACTACCCATTTTACAAGGTAAAAGTCATTGCTTCTTCACATAAATCAAAATTTGATGCTTTATCTAATGTCCATGAAAATTTCTAAATAGGGAGAAGACGTAAAATTAACATGTGTCCAAATTTCATGCAAGAATGAAACCAAGCAAATTTTCATTTCAATTATCAATGGACATAGTCAGAGCTCATCGGTGGACATGAACAAAAAATAATAATAATAAAACTGCATCTAGAAAACTTCACCTGATCATTAGTCTTCATAATAACCGGGCTTCGTATAATAGAAACCTAAATCATTGAGTTGGTCCGTGCATCCTGTAAAATTCGTCAAATAATGGGTCACTAAGATCTATTGGAGTTGATTCGTCATTGTTCGACGGTGATGTCCTGCATAAACATCAAACAGAAGCACATAAGAACTTTACCTATTCAAATTTTAGGTCTTATTATAAATAGTGTTAACATCTTACGGTGTGTTCAAATTTCTTGGGCATTGTCTTCTATCATGACCAATGTGTCCACACTCCCGACAGTGTCTAATCCCTCGCTTCATTGCCTTTTCCTTTGCTCCCGTTACTCGTTTCGACCCTCCATTGCACCTTACTCTCTTAGGGTCTTTCATATATTGTGTTTGAGAGCTGGACCCTCCAACTTCGTTATTACTTGGTCCATCCTTCAACAACTTCAACTTCACCTGCAAACTTTTTAGAGTCTCTGACAGTAGCTCACATCCTTCTTCACACATTAATGCATCCTCAACCACATCTGAAGCAAGTCGGGACATTGTACTCCGCTTTATTAAAAGACCAGGATCTGCAGAGTCTTTAATTTCGTTGCCATTTGCATCTGACACCAATCCAAATTTCGCAGTTTTCTTCCACCTCTTCAAAATGTATTTATCGGGCATATATTCAATCTGGTCCCTTCTGAACAATGCTAGGATGTGCTTGCAAATAATTCCAACAAATTCAAATCTTTTGCAGCTACACGATGCGTGGTCAGAATCTTTGACATATACGACTTCTGCCACTCTTGTTTCCCAATTTTTCCTTTCGCTCACATTAAAGACAACTTTAGAAGCATCCTCTGTTTTCAGCTCTAGGAAACATGCTGTACTTTGTATTAGTTCTTGCTCAAACTTTTGAAACATTGTCCTTGTGTACAAGGTAGCCATTTGTTTGTTCATTGGCATCGGTAGAATACATTGAGCCACTTCAAATGCATCTACGTGATCAGCAACTAACTCTTTTTGACGTTGATGAGAAAGTGCCCTCTCAAATCTTATTATGAAATCCATCAACGAATTTTTCCTTGATATGTATTGCTTGAAGAAACCATGAGAACATTCAGCTCTTTGGCTGCTTGACATTCCAGCGGCAAAAAAGTGTCGTGCGTAGGCTGGAACCCAAGATTCCCTTAAATCAAACATTGAACTTAGCCCATGGATGGTCAGTCAAACCAGCCTTTGTAACCACAATATTCCATTTTGCATCAAACTCATCCTTATTGTCAGTATCCCATATGGCTTTCTGGAATTCACCCCAATACTCCTTATAAGCAGAATGTGGTAACTTAACAGAGAACTTTGATGTGATGTGCCATATGCAAAGTCGATGAAATGTAGTCGGGAAGGCTATTGAAATCGCTCTGCTCATTGCCGCATCTTGATCTGTGATGATCGTTTTAGGTTCGCCACCTGGCATGGCTTTCTTAAACTCCTCAAACATCCAAATAAACGACTCAGTCGTTTCCTTGCTCAAAAATGCGCATGCTAGGACAATTGTTTGACCATGGTTATTAACTCCCAACATTGGTGCAAATGTCAAGTCGTATCTATTCGTGTTGAATGTGGTATCGAATACAACAACATCTCCATAAAACCCGTACGCCCGTCTAGAAGTTGCATCTGCCCAAAAACATCGACTAAACCTGTTATCGCCATCTCCCTCAATCTTGAAATAAAAAGCCTCATTTTTTTTCTGTTCAGCCATAAAATACTCGGTCACTAGTTCAACATCGTGGTTCCTCAGCTTCTCATTCACACTACATTCAAGATTGTACATATCCTTTTTCATAAAACCGATTTTATCCATTCCTCCGGATTGCACCTCGAAAATACTTACCTTCTGATTAATGGGAATATTAACCGAACCCAACTGTTTTGTAAGTACTTTTGTAGAATCTGAAATACGACGGTGTGATCTCAGTAAATGCATTCTTCCTGAGGGTGTCATCTTATGATTGTGTCCCTCTGCAAAAAGAGAGATGGTATACTTCTTGCTCCCATGTGTCTTCACAACCACAATCTTAGCTTTGCAATTGCATCTACTTATTCCCCGCTGTCTTTTTCTCTCCCGAGTTTCATCATTCCGGTATGCACCTTGTTTGCAACATACAAATTCTTTTCTCAGAATCTCTTTCTTATTTTTCCCCCAAAAGCTGGAATGAAGTCGAATACCAAAGCCAGCCAAGAATGCATATCTATTATAGAAATTATAAACGAGGTCAAGCGAGTCGAACTTCATCCCAACTGCTGGTGTTTCCTCATTTCTTACTTCAGGAATGTAAACCCTCCCATTAGCTGTTACAGAGTCATCACTCTCTGAGCCCCCAGACATTTTATCCACGTATATTATTGATCTACTTCTATATTACTGCATAGCAAATGTTAATTCATTAATCAATCATTACTGCATCACAACTTAGCAATGCATTCCACTTACACAAAACATTGCCCAAATTGACACAATACACGCATAGCCTAGCTTGTTGGATTCTGATTACACAAAACACAAGCAAAATTTAATACTAGTTACGTCATCTCTTGTGAAATAATCTGGAAAAAATAACATTAGAACCAACATGTTCAACTAAGAACTCAAATGTAATTCAAACCAGCAATTACAGAACTTCACCCAATATCCTCTCCAAATGCTTACTTCTAATGCCATTAAGCCTAAGTTTAGGATCTTTTACCTACATTTCATAATTTTCCAATCCCCCTCCAAACAAAAATAATCAACTAAGTATATTGAATATTCATAAGGAAATGACGCATTATTGATAGCAGAGCAAATGACGCATTATTGATGCCACAAATGACAAATTTCTCACCCTCACAAAAAACAAATCAAACCCAGCAAAATCAATCCAGCAAGAGTGAACTTACCTCTCAAAGTCAAATGACGCATTATTGATAGCAGAGCAAATGACGCATTATTGATGCCACAAATGACAAATTTCTCACCCTCACAAAAAACAAATCAAACCCAACAAAATCAATCCAGCAAGAGTGAACTTACCTCTCAAAGTCAATCGGGAGCTCCGAACTCAGTCAGCTTCAAAGAATGTGGTGGACATTAGAGAGGATTCTTTCGTAGTGGAGACTCCATCTCTACCAAAATCCAGGAACAACTGCAGCAGCACGAAAAAGAGATATGCTACTTTGCTTTCATCTGGAATCTCTTCTGCTGAACGAAAAAGAGAAGGGGTTTTCACTTCAATCATAGAATCAAAACAGGGCAATAGCTAGGTAAAAGCCATTAATCATCATACCGAGGATACCATAGATCGCAGGCCTCCCAAGGAGCTGATGACAATGGAGCGATTATAGAGTTTGGGAGCTTTGGATCGTTCTAATTGTGGATTTGCATTACATTAAAAAAGAGAGGATTGTGTTCTTGAGTTTTTCACAGAGAGGGAAAAATCTTCAGCTGAAGTTGGGTTTCCAAACGGGTCAGATTTCAACCCGGTTCTACATGCACCCTCTTTTAAAAACTCACCGTTGGATGAAATCCAACGGCTCTTACATACCCCTCAAAAAAACCCCTTATAACTTTCCACTCACTATAGAAGCACTCCTGCCAAGAAGGAGGGGATGGACTGGGCCTTTTTGGTAGTGGGCTATAGTTGATATTACAGAAGGTCTTTTTTCTAAAACTAGGCCATAGAAATGAATTTTGCAAACAGTTCTTCTTAATTTTTTGGTGGTATAAACTAGGCTATAACCCAGTTGAGCTCTTTTTAATATTTTTTTTTGGTCTGAAATATATTGCCCGAAGATAGAGCTGGCATTTTCTACCGAGAAACCGCAAAACCACAAAAATCAATTGTATTTTCACAATGGAATTGGCATGTCAGGAAAATCGACCGCAAATTGTGGTTTTTTTGTTGATGTGATTCTGCATATCTAAAGATTGCGGTATACCACAATATAATTTAAATAATTATTAAAATAAATATTTATAAATATTTGAGATTGAAATTGCAATTGCAATTTTACATTAAGATATATTAAATATTGCTCTTATGTTTGCAAAGCAAAGTGTCTTTCAGCAGTACACTTGCTGAAATTTTCTTTTTTTTGCCAAGGATACATTTACTTGAAGAAATTAAAAGAAATATGTTGGCCGATTCAATACAGTGCAGTACTTGTCTATGTTCTTTTTTTTGTTGGTAGAAAGTTTTGTAATGTTTTTTTGTTTGTTTGTTGAGAAAATGGATTTCATTAACATATCAAGATTACAATACAAGATGTGGCAGCGTGCACATAAGATGGCCTCATTAAAATCTTTGAGGAAAATCCAAAGGGATAAAACCTTAGAGGAGGAAAGAGAAACACACACGCCATATACTATATAGAGGAGTCATACAAAACTAAAACTGGCAGGACGATTATCATAGAGACAGTGCCATATATAATCATAAGGGTGGCACATCAAATCAAAAAGCAAGATCCTCTTGACTAAGACCATAATGTGCAATACGATTGGCAACCCCATTAGTAGTCCGGAGAACATAGTGAACAAAATAAAGATGGCACAGAAGCCAGAATATGACGAACATCCTCCACCTGACAGGACCCGCCCCGAATTTCCTCAGAAACCGGGACGGACCCTGCCTAATTACGACATCACCCCGATGCCGGGCCCACTTACTAAAGACCGAGACTTTCTACCAAAAATTTGACAGAGTCTCCCCTGTAAATTGAACATTTCCCAAACTTCAACCTGCTCAAAATTTACAGTTAATAAACCCAACCAGCAACATGCATTAAAAGGAGTTAAACAATTTACAACAAAGGCCTCCAGCCTCACAATTTAAACCTTAAGCGGGTGATACATAGCATATCTAAGAAATTCAAATACAACATAAACAGAGTTCCACTGGAAAAGAAAGATGAAGGAGTCCCTACAAAGACTCAAGATTCGGAAGCACCCGATCCGGCTCGATTGCGGAGCTCAGTCACTACTGGCTGGGGGGCGCAAAACAGAAAATTGTGAGTGGACAAAAATAAAGTTCAGTTCAAATAAATCAACGTAATATAACCCCACCATTAGAAAATCATGCAAGAATTCCAAATGCATCTTAAAATCGTCATAAGCAAGTATATGAACATATACTAAAATAATACTGGATACCAAGTCCGAAATCCGTGAACAACACTTCACAAACCCACCATTCAAAACTTAAAAGTCCCGAAAGATTAAGCTCTCGAAAACTTACCCACTGGCACGACCGGCGAGGAAGTATCCTTACCGAGAAACAAGAATGAATGAATATTCATATGTATAAGTATGTATAATAATATATAATATAATAATAATAACATATCTATATAATTATAACCAACATTTAGTTGTACCGGGGAAACAATCCAACCGGGGGATTGTTTGACTAGTCAACATGGCAGAACCATTCCTCAATTCACCATGTGACTAGGGAACGAGCCGTCCAACTGGGGGACTAACTCTCAGCCAGCACGTACAGCCGAGATACTCAAAGCTTGTACGCCTGAAAAACCAGTCCTAGGCGCGCAGACTACCCCAAATCCAGGGTCTACAACAACATCCCCCCAAGTGATTATATTAGAACACAATTTGCAATGTGATCATTTCAGCACACCATTTGTGAAACGTGATTACACCAACATATTCCCCAAAAATCTACGTTGTTTGCTAAATTAGAAACACAAGGGTACTGAAAGCTACATGTGCAACATATGTGTTTACTGTTGTAAACAAATCATTGCAGCAGAATCCTCAATAATGCTATGGATATCTATTAATGCATATATGTATACCTTCATTGAAAACTCACAGTTCAAGGGACACAATAGAAGAAAAAACCTAAATAAAAACAAAAACAAATCTAATCATGAGTCACGTTATCCCCTTAAAAGATCAATATGTCTTGTCAATAATTGTCTCCTTCAAGAGGTAATATTAAAAACAAATCTGATCATGAGGCACGCTATCCCCTTAAAGAGACAATATGTCTTGCCACTGGCCTAATCTTAATCTGGAACTGAAAATTGACATAGGAATAGGATACAACAAGGAAAAATCTTGGATTAATTGATTTTATAAAAATTACAACAGACAAGTTAATTGAATCAGTTCAAATAAGAAACTTGACAGCTGAAAACAAGTCAAAATGGTACAAAACACTTGTCACTCAGATTAATTCCACAAATTTACTAAAGAAAGACAAATAAATCAAAGGAAATAAACAAGCCCAAAAGTTATTGCGAAAAATGCATGCATATTGCATAATATGAACAACTATTGAAAGCAACGTATCTGAATCTAGATAGCTCTAAAATTATTATTTAGATATCTCAAGGTAAGCCATTTGAGTATATCCATTAAATACAAAAGGATTGAGTCTGGTTAAACCAAGTTGTTGTAATAAGAGATGAGTATCTTGGATGGGGTCCCAATTATAGAAGGGTGGGATCTTTTTATGGGATTTGATATTTATATCACCCACTCAAAAGTCTCATACAATACATCATTTAACGAAATACCTCAAAATCGGTAAGTTTTTTTAATACCACCGTACTTTTTTTTTTTATCTTTTAAAAGTCCTAATTAAACACCACTAGACTGAGATTGATGATTTAAAAATTCTAATTAAATACCAATAGATTTTTTTTTATTACTTGTGCAACATTGTATTGAAATGTTATATGGCTAAACAAATTTAAAATGTTATGTTTCAGAAATGAATTTTAGAGCACTTCTACCCATTTGCCATGGCAAAGGACAAGGGCAAGGCAAGGGTTGTTACTATTCACATAAATAGTGGCAGCCCTTGCATAAGGTTGTGGTGTTTCCACCCATTGCCATGACAACCATTATTCACATAAGATATGAGGAGAGGAATTTGTAAAGAATTTTGGTGTAGCAAGTGAAGAATACGACTAAGTATTTATTTTAAAAAAATATGAAATTTTGTGTAGATTTTTTTTTAAAATTTTTTGTTGCTGACGTCATCGCTAATGTCAACAAACCCAGGCTAGAGCACAGGCTCGTTTTGCCTGAGGGCTGGCTTAGTTTCGTGGGCCCCAACAGCTGCCCTGGCAGCTTCAGCCCGCTGGAAGACGAATTTGGGGCTTGAGCCCCTTCTTGCCCTGTCAAGGGCAATCTGCTGGAACTGCTCTTATAAACGGTAGTTTAGATTTACATTCTAACACATAATTAGTCAGTACCTACAAAATTAACAATTGTTGTGAGACTGCCTATCAAATTAACAATACAGCATTATCATGCATAAACATGGCGTCCATGGAAGAATCCCTATTGTGGAGGCTCATTACCCACTGTCATTTGTACGGAATTACTACCTCGGTTGGACATTTTCATATAAGCTCTACTTCTTACTGCATAACTGCAGTTGCATCTAATACTTTTAAAAGTTAATATTATTTCTGATTAGGATATTGATGATCATCGATATCATCATAAAATTCAAAATTATTTATTTTTCTTTTGGATAATAATATTATGTTTCTAAAGCTTCAACTAACACTGACATCAAACAATATTAATCGTTCCTGCATAAATTAGTGACTAAACACTTCTAGGTATCTTGCAATTACCAGATAAGGAGTTAGTAATCATGTAGGGAAATTGCTTAACAGAATCCAATTGCTTTCTCTTCAATTTGTATCTTATGGCTGGCGATTGCAATTTATACATACAAGGTAAAAGGCCCCATTTAGGTTATTCATCTAGAGTTTTCAAAATGTACGACCGGCCCTGAATAATAGACAACAATAGAAGAGATTAGTTTTCATAACAGAGTGATGTTATTAGAATTGAGAGAGAGTACACGCGTGACTTGGTGTATATAGGATATAGGACTATAGGCTTTTGACCAAAAAAAAAAAGAAAAAAAAAGCATAGTACTATAGGCTATTGGCCTTTTTTGTCTTATAGCTTTTGCCTACTTAGTGGATATTGACCTTCTAGTGAGTTTATAGGACAACAATCTAATTGGCGGCTTGTTGCTTGTTTGCTTATAGAGGTCCAATTTGGGATTGCTTCACTTTTAAAAAAAGTTGTTTCTGCTATGCTTTGAAAATAAAGTAAAGCATCTCCATATTTGGGAAACAATATTTTTAAAAGTGTTGTTAGTACAAAAAGCAATGTCAAAATCGTTTGATAAATTTTAATATAAAACTGTTGTAAATGTGAACAATGACTAAAATAGACATGATGTTGAAAGTATTATGGGCTAATCATGTGGTGGTAGTGGTGGCGATGGTGAAAGAGATGGTGGTTATGGTAGTGGTGGTGGTGGGGATGGCGGTTGTGGAGGTGGAGGTTGAGGAGGAGGTGGTGGTGGTGGTGGCGGTGCCAGCATGGTGGTATAGAGTTAGGATAAACGACTAGTAATTCAGGCCTAGTTAATCAACCTGCTTTGATACCGAGGAGGCTATAATGAGGAGTTTAAAGTGAGGAGGCTTTTTGAGGAGGTTAATCTCACCATCAACAAATGTAAAGAAATCATGGGACTTAAACATTTTAAATGTTTTGATGGTGGGATTGGCCTCCTGAAATAGCATTCTCACTTTAAACTCCTTATTGTAGCCTCTCCCGCTATGATATTATGTTAAATTTCAGAGAGGCGGGCTATCGGCCTATTACTAGCAATACCGATATTGTCCCTAAGTTAATCACCTACAAAGCCTAGTAGATATGGGGTTTTGTCACAAAAAGGTCTCGGTGATATTAGTTGTGGAACCACTCATTATATATGATATTTATTTTGTCAAGTTTCCAATGTGGTGGGACTTTAGATTCTTCAACAGTTTAATATGCAATTCAATTAATAAACATATATGTACTTATCATTGATCCTACGAGGAGAAACTCTATAACCATGTAATTCAATTAAATTCAATATGGCCAGCTATTATTTTTTGGGTTTGTTTATAGAAACTAATTGGTGTAGGGTTTATCTATATCATTAGTGCTAAGAATGGGTATATGACTAAATATCTCTATAGATTTTTGGTTCTTTTCTCCAAATTTGTCAACCAATTTATTGTTTGAGTTCATGGAGATTTGGGATTTTGTTGTAGGTGGTGAATACACATAAGACAATTGTCAGATTAATTGATTAGGACTTTCTGTTTTGATTAATTGATTGGAGTTTTGTGTTTTGATTAATGAATTAAGAAAGAAAGTAGTATCTTTTAATTTTTTTGGTGTTATTTTCATATGAAACAAATTTCGTAACTTTTATATCGTGACTCCAAAACTCAACAATCCTGGATATGCCATTGGAACCATTATTTCTTTTGTTGAAAGGGAGAAGTTAGTGTAGTGATGGGATAATAGATATTTGTTGTAGCTAGAAAACATTAATTACTATTTTTTGCTTTTTAACATTTAGTACCACAAAAAATCTATGTTGTTTACCAAATTAGAAACACAAGGGTATTTAAAGATACATGTGTAACATATGTGTTTACTGTTGTAAACAAATCATTGCAGCAGAATCCTCAATAATGCTATGGATATCTATTAAAGCATATATGTATACCTTCATTGAAAATCTCACAGTTCAAGGGACACAAATTTATTCACAATATGATGATTAATAGTTTTTCTGTTACTTTACATAATGTCAACCGCGGTTATATCCACCAAACCCTAGTTAATTTCTAATTAGTCAAGGAAAACAAATGTTTCAAAATCTTAGCCTTTTATATGCAGAAAGTAGAAGAGCAAAAGTAAGACTAAAACATATGCAACATATGTGTTTATTGTTGTAAACACATCCTCAGTAATGCTATGGATATCTATTAATGCATGTATGTATACCTTGATCGAAAATCTCATAGCTTTATCAAGGGATCCAAAAGAAGAAAAAACCTAAACAAAAACAAAAGCAAATCTAATCCTGAGTCACGCTAGCACCTTAAAGAGACAATTTGTCTTGTCAATGATCCAATCTTAATTGATTGCTTACGCGTGTGATCAGAAAAAGGGGGTTTACACAAATATTCAATGAGCATTTGAGGGTTCGAACTTCTATTCCATTGACAGATATCAAAGAACTCATTCAATTGAATTATACTCCATTGACGTCGTTAATTAAATTTATTTGAATTCATGTAGGTAATTAAGTTTATTTGAAATTATGTAGGTGTGATATATCAAAACGTGTTCATACCCAAAAACATTTATATCAAAACCTTTGCATTTGAAGTGGACCACATACTATTTGGTTTTTATTTTACCATGCAATAATGATTTTCGGTACGGTTGCAGGATAAGTGTGTGGCTCGTTTTTGTGGCGCTTATTAAGTTTAGTGACAGTTATCTATTCAATTAATGACAGTTACATTTGAATTTTGGGACCGCTATGGTTTTAGCTCTAGAAAATGATGATTTAAAGAAATCCCTACATGACACATAGTAATGATAATTTGAGCTAAGATTGGTGTAACTTCAACTTTCCGTTTCTTTAAGGCTTAGTGCCCTTTAACTAATGGATGGAAGATGGCTAAACCGAATCCAATTCACACTTCGGCCAAATCTACTTTGGAGAATACAAAAAAGTCCTACGTGAATTAAAATTATAAGTAAAATCTTGTAATTACAATCTATTAAAATCATAAGAAAAATCATGTAATTACAAGTCACGCTGAAATCTATTACATTAAAATCATGTAATTACAATCTAGTCAGGATTTTTAAGTAATAAAAAAAAATCTATTGGTATTCAATTAGAATTTTTAAATAATCAATCCTAGTCTAGTGGTATTCAATTAGGACTTTTAAAAGATAAAAAATAAGTACGGTGGTACTAAAAAACTTACCGATTTTGAGGTATTTTTTTAAATGATGTATTGTGTGAGACTTTTGAGTGGGTGATATAAATACCAAATCCCATAAAAAAAAACTCACCCTTCTAATTGGGACCCCATCCAAGATACTCATGTCTTATTACAACGGCTTGGTTTAATCAGACTTGATCCTTTTGTATTTAATGGATATACTTAAATGGCTTACCTCGAGATATCTAAACAATAATTTTAGAGCTATCTAGATTTAGATACGTTGCTTTCAATAGTTGTTCATATTATGCAATATGCATGCATTTTTAGCAATAACTTTTGGGCTTGTTTATTTCCTTTGATTTATTTGTCTTTCTTTAGTCAATTTGTGGAATCAATATGAGTGACAAGTGTTTTGTACCATTTTGACTTGTTTTCAGCTGTCCAGTTTCTTATTTGAACTGATTCAATTAACTTCTCTGTTGTAATTGTTATGAATTCAATTAATTCAAGATTTTTCCTTCTTGTATCATGTTCCTATGTCAGTTTTCAGTTCCAGATTAAGGTTAGGCCATTGGCATGACATATTGTCTCTTTAAGGGGACAGCGTGCCTCATGATCAGATTTGTTTTTACTATTACCTCTTGAAGGAGACAATCATTGACAAGACATATTGCCCTTTTAAAGGAATAACGTGACTCATGATTAGATTTGCTTTTGTTTTTGTTTAGGTTTTTTCTTCTTTTGGATCCCTTGATAAAGCTATGAGATTTTCGATCAAGGTATACATACATGCATTAATAGATATCCATAGCATTACTGAGGATGTGTTTACAACAATAAACACATATGTTGCATATGTTTTAGTCTTACTTTTTCTCTTCTACTTTCTGCATATAAAAGGCTAAGATTTTGAAACATTTGTTTTCCTTGACTAATAAATTAACTAGGGTTTGGTGGATATAACCGCGGTTGACATTATGTAAAGTAACAGAAAAACTATTAATCATCATATTGTGAATAAATTATTTTATGTAACTATCATACCGCTATGTGATTTTTTTGTTTGTTTTGTTTTTATTTTGTTGTTGTTGTTGTTGTTGAGAAAATATGGTATTTCATTAAACCGAAAGGAACATTACATGGTAAGAACTAGCATGTTAACGGTAGCCTCGTTAAAACCTTCTTAGAGAAACAAAATCCTAGGGTAGGAAAGAGTACCACCCATGGTATTGACTAAACAGAAGAGTCAAACAACTTATACGAAACAAACCAACCTAAAACCCAACTACAAAACCCTTAAAACAACATCCCATTACTATGTAGGTGCTGTCAAAGAAGTCCTCCTATGATCTAGAAAAAGCATCATAGTTCTTCGTACATAGTCCTCCTATGATCTTGAAAACTCATATAATTGGCATTGGATCAATAAAATGTGAAGCAATCTTGTCCTTCACCACTTTACCAACACGCGTGTAGCCATCGTCACCTTTGTAGAGGAGATCTGCCACTTTTGTTAAATTAAGAACTCTCATTAGGATTGCCAATGGCGCTACAGTTGGTCTGAGAAACTCCCCGTTTATGTCCTTCCACAGATCCACCACTTGGTTGTTCAAAGCATCAAGTGTCTCTTGCTCCGACACCCCATATTGCTTCATGTAGCAATCAATACTACAGGCAACATGGCCTCTCTCTTTCTCAAACTGCATATAGAAATGCAAAATATTAATTCAGTAATATTATTGAAAATCAGATCGTCATTCTTACTACTACTGCTTTTAAACTAATAACTTTAGCTAGCCCACCAGTTGAAAAATTCCTAGTTCCGCCCTTGTTGGAAAGTGTCATTAGAGCTTCAATTCAAGATGAATTATGAGAAGAAAATGGGAGGTGGGAGTCAGAGAAATATATGCAACGTATGTGGATACGTTTACTCCTAAGTTTTGACAAAAAAAGGCAAAGGAACATACAGATGGACCAAAACTGACAAACAATTAAATATACAAGGACTATATAGCTCAAATAGTTGAGGACAATTTAGTCAAAATGAATCTTACAATCATGAATTTTGAATTCTATTTTTGCTGTTTGAGAAAGAGTGTGTTTGTACCCTATTTTTCAAATGGGCCAAAAATGGTCTATCTCTCAAGGGATCAATTCGAATTCATATATTCATCTAACTGGATAGAGAAATCTCCAGTTTTTCCTTGCATTGTAATCAATATTTTGAATTAGTTGAATGAATAAATTCAGAACTCTCGTTCTTCCTTATTATCAAGTTAAAATAAGATAAAGAGACCTCAGAGTTTATCTTAACTGTTTCATTAAGTATTTGCTATTTAATTGTTTTTACATATTTTAAATATCTCTATAGATTAATTTAATTTCCCTCCTTCGTATCATTTAAATTTATCATTCGGACCTAAAGCAGAGGTCTAGGCCTGAATAGGGCCTTGTTAGTCCAAAAGTAAAAGGTTAATTCAGGCCTGAACTATACTATTGGGCTCGAATTGACTGGAATCCTGAACCGATCTAACGGCCGATTGAATTTAAATTAGGTTTCTAAACCGAAATAGGGTATCATTAACCACAATTTTGATTCCT